AAACATGCTGAGCAGCAATCTGTTAATCATACAAGATAGCCAGCTTTCTTGTGACCACACCAGTATCTGTTGTCTTGCTCTCGGACGGACTTTTTCCATGTATATTAAATTTACTGCTTGGTAACCCATAGCTGCTGCTCTCTGGGGTAAAGGATAACATATGGCAAGGTCCCCATGAGACCTTCATATGCTTGGGTATAATGTAATGGAGTGTGTCAGGTTGAAAGCCAGGACTTAACCTTATCTCTTTTCTCTCTCTCTGAGCAATACCATGTTGTTGAGTTTTGTTCTGCTTAAAAGAGGAGAGCTTATAAAAACCTGAATTAAGAAATAGCAGCCAGCTTTAAAAATATTACTTTTTAATCCTTCAAAATGAGTAAGGCTCTACCAAGACCACGATCAATTTCATGGTCATAAGATTTTAAAAATTGTAAATTTCATGATGTCAGCTATTTGAATCTGAAAACTCATAAGCTATGTCTAGACTACATCCCTTTTTCGTAAAAGGGATGTAAATTAGACATATTGCAATTGCTAATGAAGCGGGGATTTAAATCTCCCCCGCTTCATTAGCATAAAAATGGCTGCCGCTTTTTTTCGGCACTGAGCTTTGCCGGAGAAAAGCGCCAGTCTAGACACTGATCTTGCGGAAAATAAAGCCTTTTCCGAAAGATCCCTTATCTGTTTCTTGAAATAAGGGATAAGGGATCTTTCGGAAAAGACTTTATTTTATGCAAGATCAGCATCTAGACCGGCGCTTTTCTCTGGCAAAGCTCCGTGCCGAAAAAAAGCGGCAGCCATTTTTATGCTAATGAAGCGGGGGAGATTTAAATCCCCGCTTCATTAGCAATTGCGATATGTCTAATTTACATCCCTTTTACGAAAAAGGGGTGTAGTCTAGACGTAGCCTCCATGATATAATTGTAGGGGTTGTGACCCAAAAAAAAGAGCTGTGGGAAATGAGGGTCCACAGGGTTATTCTATGGGTGCTGCAATACTGCTATCCTTGCTTGAGCACTGCTGCTGTGATGCTGCCTTCTGAGCTTAGCAGCTGGAGGGTGGAGGCTGCTGACCAGAGGCCCAGCTCTGAAGGCAGAGTTGCCACCAAAAGCAGCGCAGAAGTAAAGATGGCCTGGTATGATACTGTCACCTTTACTTCTGCGCTGCTGCCTACAGAACTGGGCCATCAGCAGCCCCCACTCTCCAGCTGCCCAGCTCTGAAGGCAGTAGTGCAAAAGTAAGCGTGCCTTGATAAGATATTGCCAACCTTTCTTCTACTGTGCTGCTAGCAGTGCACTGCCTTCAGAGTTGAGCACTCAGCCAACAGCCACAGCTCTTTAGCCATTCAGTTTTGAAGGCAGAACAGAAGTAAGGATGGCAATATAAACCCCCTAAAATGCCTTGTGACCTCCCCCCCGCCGCCACTCCCATTTGGGTCAGAACCCCCGATTTGAAATCAATATAAAATAGGGAAAAAAGCACACAACAGACCAGATTTCAGAGTCTGAGACACATTTTTCATGGCCATGAATTTGGTAAAAATGTATGAACAGAGATGCCTCGGGTTTATTCTTAAACTTTACATGCCGAAATTTTCATAAGAGCTAAATGAAGTTAGAAATTCAACTTTCATTGAAATTCAATGAGGTTTAGGGACCAAACACCCTTAGGCCATGTCTTCTCTAAACAGAAGATCGTTGCTGCTGCAATTCATCTTCCAGAGTTTGATTTAGTGAGTCTAGATGCATTCAGAGGCTTTGCTATGTAAAAGTGGTCACCAGTACAAAAGTTTGAGAACCACTAGTCTAAACTTTTCTATTAGAAGAAAATGAATGTATTCGTTTTTCTTCAGGTGGACAAAAATAAATACGTTTTTGAAGAAAAAAATCTGATTTTTAAATTTAAATTGGATTTTTTTATTTTGTTAATTAAATCATGATTTTTTTTGTTTAAAAATAAATCTGTTAAAAATGAGATTTGAATTCAATACAAAATATGATAAGGCCTAAATTTATTATCTCTTTAAACATTTATATACAAAATAAATACGCTGAATCCAGTGTTGAATTAAAGCCTTGTTTCCTATATAAAGAAAGCATTGAGAGAAAATGTCTAACTTTTGAGGTTAAGATTTATAAATATGCTACAATAGGTCAGCCTCAGTAATTTAAGATACTGTATCATTTTCCGGAGACTTAGCTGGGTAGTAAGTTAAAGCTCCTGTCACTTTCACTTAAGCATATTTGAAAATTTTCCCAGACTGACCTGAAGTAATCAGTTTAATTCTCTAACAACAGTTAATCCCTCTGTTTAATAAATCATTCACTTGTAAATGTGAAATGTGTGTTGATTAGAGAAGTTAATGTATCCATATCATTTATGGTGGTTTTGTGTAACAAAAATCTATGCAGTTTTTTAATTAAATTAAATTTCAGTTACCATCCTAATGCAACTTGACTCACATCATGAGCAAAAAGTTAACTGTCTAGTAAATAAGCAATATATCATTCACCATTTTCTAACATACTAAAAATGTACAATTAATAAAAGTCTTATAACATTAAGCTATGTGATTGTATAACTAAATGTATATAGTTACAGTTTACTCTTAGATAGCAAAAAGATGTATCCAATCTAGTGAAAAGGCTATTATAGTGAAAACTATTTAGTTGAAAATCAATATGCTTTAATAGTTATATTAACCAATTAAAATGCACCTTTATTTAAAAATTAGTGCACAAATGAAAAAGATTTAAATCAATTATTCCAAGGCTTTCTACTTGTTGATTTAAATAAATCCATTCTGGTTTTTTCTTCCTTTTATTAACACACCAGTTTCTTCTCAGATAAAATTACGCTTTTCACAGCATCTAGGAATATAGAAATTTAGAGTATGCAGTTATTTTGTATTTTCCAAAACACAGATTGATTTTAAAACTGTTGTATACGCTGAAGAATTTTCTTTAATGAACATTGTTTTCTTGGATGGAAATATTGTGTGGCTTATGAAATCAGATATTTACTTATGTTGTTCCACTTTTACATGATTTGAAGCCGAATTACATTGTTCCCTTCTGCAGCTCATTTAAGAAGTTCAAGGGCTTTTGATTGTTCTCAAATAAATTATGCCATGTTGTTGTTCTAAGAGACAACTCTTAGACAGAGTAAAGAAACTGAATGGAAGTCTTCAAATTAAGCATAATATATGAGGGAAAGAAGCTTTTATATAAGGTTTAATCCTACAACCTACTGAACACTCTGGCCCCAGCCCAGCAGAGCACTTAAGCACATTTTTAACTTTAAGCAAGGAGGCAAACCTACTGGTGTCAGTAGAACTATTCACATGTTTAAGCGCTTTGCTGACTTGGGCCAGTGAGTTCAGTACCTTGCAATATTAAACCCATCATGCATTTATGGTTTTCTTGTCTTTGCCAACAGCAGTGTAATTTTCAAAATGGAAAGTTGGCATTTGGTTAATGCTGGTGATCACGCAATCTGTACTTTGAATTCAGGTGATTGCATTCTTTGAGATCCTAGTTTTCACTGGAAACAATATATTTTTAATGTTCCTTTTTTGTTTTATCAGTCAGATCCACGTTAGCTTGCACATTGCTAATATCCCCCAAGGAACGGAAACTTGGTCTTTGCTAATCTTTTCTCTTTCCCAAGTAAAAATTACAAAATGTAATTTTATCATTTTGTGCAGTTATTGTTAATCATTCAGTACCAGTGCCTCTGATAGGATATTTTTTCTTTATATTCAGTGTGAATTACAGTAATGCAATATCTGTCTATATTGTCTATTGGTCAAATTTTCCATCAGGCATCTTTGTGCATTTCCTCGGGCCACACTTTGCAAATAGGAGTTGCCCTTGTAAAAATCCCCAGGGCCACTCTGCTATCCCTCTTCAGACCTCTACTTTAAAATTTGCCTACAAACACCTACTAAATGGTTATACAGTAAGTATGCTGGACCTCTTGTTTATTACCTGAATCAGACCAGTCTCTCTGTTAGGGATGTTAACTAATGGGTAGTTGTGGTAGTGTGGATGCATCACTTAGAAAAGCAACTGTATGGTGCTAAAGTCAATGTAAAGTCCTAGTGTACATCAGGCCTTCAAGTGGTGATAGAGAAAACTGGTGCAAGGGAATAATGGGCCACCTTTTGGTCTGCTTAGGCACTCTGCAGCATGGGCACGAGACAGTTTACTAGAGGTTAGAATAATGAACGTACGGTTTTTATGATCCATTTAATCCACTGCCCCAGTTATTTTTTTAAGCTTTCCCTCTCAACACATCCCTAAAGAGAAGTTGTAAAACTGCTGAGTTTATTCAAGGTTGCCAATGTTACAGCTTGACAGTTTCAGTGGGATATATAAATCTCTCCACAACTAAAGACTGAATTGAAATCTGGGATTATCATAGACCTTGTATTGGCACTATGTTTGTCTTTTAAAATCCTATAGGCAAAAATAATTTAAAATAGATATAAATCTATCTTTTAATATATTTGCTCTTGTGATTACACTGGAAGGAATGTTTAATTCATTAGTTAGAATCAGATGCATTAGGCATTCTGTCTGCCATCTCTGATGGTATACTGCACTTTTCATAAGGAGCCCTGCACAGAAGCAATGTTAGTCATAAAATTGATATTCTTTAAACTTTGAACATTAATCACAAAACTCTTAATTGTCAGAGTAATTATAAACCAATGGACTACATTCTACAATAGGGAACTGAAAATCATAAATATTTACCAATGTATTGTATTCTGGATGTTTAATGTGCCTCTTTAAATTATAATTTAGGATAAGGAATGACCTCTCTGGACTTACAATAGAATTTTCGTTAAACAAATATAGCAAGCACGTAGAAAAAAAATCAACCATCATTGAGGGAGATATTAGTAATTTGTATTTTCCACAATATGCGGGATGATAGATAACTGTTCACATATTGTAAATTATCTCTCTGCAACTGTTTCTTTCTTTCCAAAGGTGAAGCTGTCAAACCTTTCACTCCAGAGAAAGCCAAGGAAATTGTGATGTCTCTACAACAACCTGCAATCTTTTGTAACATGGTTTTCGATTGGCCAGTACTACATTGGAATGCTAAATATCTTTCTGAGGCTTTGGATGGAAAGACAATACAGTTTAGAATGGGAATAAAGAAAAAGGACACAGGTAGGTTTTTAGATGGTATTAGGTTACAGTTAGAAACTCTGTTTAATATCCTCCTTAATCCTCTGCAGTGCTTTCATGCCAGATGTTCTTTTCACAGTAAATTACATCTAACAAAGCCTTTGAGTGAGAGGAGTGAAATGGGAGGTTTATTTTAGCCAGTGATGTCTCATCTTTCTCTCTCACTTGCTCTTTTCCCACTTTTAACATTTAGAGCAGTAAATCTAATAGTTAGAGCTAACTTCTGATCATCTTAAATCCTGGTTTCTTTTCCTGGCTCTATTACATAATTGCTATGAGGTCATCCCTAATGATTTAGATCAGTGGTCACCAACCAGTAGATTGGGATCTACTGATAGTTCTTGGAGCCTCTGACAGGTGGTTTGGCCAAGAGGCTGTCAGGGGCTACGTCTACACTGGCCCCTTCTTCGGAATAGCCATGCTAATTTAGAACTTTGGAATAGGGAAATGCGCGGGGGATTTATTCCGGAGGATCTCTTATTCCTACTTTCAAGAGCTTTATTCCGGAGGATCGCGCCAGTCTGGACGCTCTTTTCCAGCTTTTCCCCAAGCTGGGAAAAAAGCGGCGGCCATGTTTATTTAAATCCCGCGGGGGATATTTAAATCCCCCGCGCATTTCCCTATTCCAAAGTTCTAAATTAGCATGGCTATTCCGAAGAAGGGGCCAGTGTAGACACAGCCAAGGTCTTGCACTTCAGGTGCCCTTCCTCCCATTGCCGTGCATCTCTTGCCCTTTGCTTTGGAGCTGCCCCTCCCTCGTGAGCCTCCTGCTTTCTGTGCAGGGCAGGGTAGGCAGAGGAAGGGTGCTGATGTCATGGTGCCCCCTCCCTCTCTGTATCCTTTCTTCACAGAACAGAGAGGGGGCACAACAGAACTTGGGATAGAGGAAGTTTTCTGGCTGCTTTTGGGAGTGGGCCAGGGCAAGGGTGAGCCTGCTTTTACCCTACTGCACGACCACCAAGGAGCCACCTGAGGTAAGCAGTGCCCAGCTGGAGCCCACATCACAATATCCTACCCCAGTTATGAACCCTATCCTGAACCCCAAGCCCCTGCCCTAGCCCTGAGCACTCTTGCATCCAAACACCCTCCCAAAGCCTGCACCTAGAACTCCCTCCTGTACTCCAACTGCCTGCCCAAAGAGCAGCTCAGAGCCCCTCTCACACTCCAGATCCCTTAATCCAAGACCAGAGCCTGCACCTTAACCCTGTGCCCCATCCTGGTGAAAGTGTGTGAGGATGGAGTGAGCAGAGGCAGGGCCTTGGAGAAGGGGCACGGGTATTTGAATTTGAGGTAGTTCTTGGATTTTACTTGCATTAAAAAAGCAACCTCATGCTTAAAAGGGTTGGAGACCACTAATTTAGATTGTAGGTGATGATTTAGATATTGAAAGGTGCTGATCATATTTGAAAATCATGCCATTAACCAATCTTTTTCTTCTTCTGTGAAATGGAGACAATCTTCATGGCTACATCTAGACCGGCATGATTTTCCGCAAATGCTTTTAACAGAAAAGTCTTCTTGTGCAAGAGCTCTGTGCAAGAAGGCAAGAAACCCTATGGCTAAAATGGCCATCAGAGCTTTCTTGCGCAAGAGAGCATTCCACAGTGCCATGGACGCTCTTGCACAAAAGCACTTCTCTTGCACAAAAGCAAATGGCAGTGTGGACGTGTTCTTGCGCAAGAACTTTTGCGTAAGAACTCTTGCGCAAAAAGTTCTTGCACAAGAAGCCTGCAGTGTAGATGTAGCCTAGGTGTGTAGGTTACACTGGGAGAGAGGGGGAGGAGCAGAGACAGCCTACACTTGGGAGAGGAGACAGAAAAGAGGCTGGTCAGGGGTTAATATTGCAAAGGAAGTGTAAATGATGTTGCCCATCGCTGCTTTAGAGGCTGCTGTCTATGGTGACAATCTGATACAACAGGACATGAATATGCAGTTCTGAGTCTAACCAGAAGAGGGCAGTTTCACACACACACGTGCACTAATTAATCAGGAAGATTTAATATTTTTTTGAATGTGCCAAAGCAAAACCAGAAAGATAAAAGTATGTAATAGTATTATGAGATACTAACAGCAACCGAATTGATAAAGTATATGTTGGGTTATTGTGAAATGCAGATATTGTCAGATATGTAATATTTGGCCTTTTATATTTTCAAAGCATTTTACAAACAAGAATTAATCAATCCTCACTTTGCCCCTTTTTCATATGTCGAGAGCACAGGACTGATACCCAGGAGATCTGGATATCAGTCTATTCCTGACTCTGCTGCCCACCTGCTAGGTGACCTTCAGCAAGTCAGTCTCCCATGCCTCTGTTTCCCCAGGTGTAAAATGGGGATAATGATACTGACTTCATTAAGCTCTTCAAGACTATGGATAAAAAGCACTACATAAGCAGCCATTATAATTATCCTCATTTTACAGATGGTACTATGTCAATACCAGTGAAAACAAGCCCAGTGGATGTAACAGCGGTGAAGCTCAATGCTCTCTTAATGCATTTTACCCCTTAACATGGAGGAAACTCCAATAGGAGTGAAAGGGTAATTTAGCCTCAGTGTCTATCAAATCTTAAGCATCTTTCTTGAGATTTGGAAATTAGAGTTCCAGTTGTGTGAACACCTGTCAAGAATTGGACTGATGCCACCTACTTACTTGATAAGTCATCATATAACAACTTTTCAGTCGCCAGGGATATGGACTAGATTCAAAGCATTTAGAGTTTTCATATTTTGAGATTAAAGCCCTTGTATGTTTTGTCCTTCATTGCTCACCCCTGAAGACAGCCAGTCTCTAGGATCACACCATTTTATACTAATACAGGTTGCAAATGTATTCAAGAAAATGAGAAGAGCCTTTGGGGCTGCACTGTCGCTAAATGAGGATCTTGTTCTAACAAAAAGCATTACGTTGTAAGAGTCTGTTGCATAAACCACTGCCTAAAACAATGTAATGTATCTGTGTGTGTTGCTAGATGTAAGTAGGTTGTTTGCTGTCTTGCGCATTAACATTTTTTCTGAAGGATGTGCTTGGCGCTTTCTTTCCTATCACTGTTATCCAGAGCTAGTATCTTTGTCCAGACAAATTGAGGTGCTGATAGTGATTATAGGAAGGAACTAGAGGATATTGCAAAGTTTACATTGGCCCCTCTGATTGTGTTCACCTGCCATTAGTCAAGGTGAGTTTACAATTTAAGGGTGTTGTTAGATGATCCTATCAGTGGTCATGATAACAGCAGCCAGGATGGCTTTTTCCATCCATGCCTGGGTAGGAGCTTGCGAACATTCATTTCAGATATAGATCTTGTTAATGCTCATTGTCTCAAGATTAGACTATTGCTGTGCACTCCATCTGGAGTTACACCTGAAAACCGTTCAGAAGCTGGCTCAGAGTGAGACAGATTGCATGGTTAAGGGGATTTTGTTGCAAGCCAACAGTGTTATCGCTGTAAATGGTTCTGGCTGCCTACTGGTTTCTTGCAGGAGTTTAAGTTGGTTATTTTGATCTATAAAGCCCTAAGTGGCCTGGGCCCTGCCTACCTGAGACTGCCGATTACCTTCCAAGAGTCAACGCTGTAGCTTGTGGAAGCCCTCAAACTGAAATTCATTCAGTATAAAAGAAAGGGAGCTGCTGGCAAGGTGTACTCCGTGCGGGCCCTGGCTCTGCACTTGCTTTTACTGTTAATATAAAATAGCCAGTAGCCAGCGTGCTTTCCATCTAGTGGCACTGAGACCACTTACAGAGAGAAGAATGAGTCTGCTCTACAACTTTAGCTGAGAGCCAGCTGGCTCTTTGCTCAAGCAGTAGAGGCTCATGCACTAAACTCCAGCGGTTCCAGGTTTGATTGTGTTCCACAGTCCAGATGTGGAAAGCAAGTGCGATATCTGTACTGTGTGTATGAATATGATAGGGGCCTCCATTTACCTGCTGATGATATTCTGTCTGACTACACAACATTTTTTTAAAAGGAGGCTGTCAGGAAGAAGCAAGGATAAAACAATGACAATCATCCAGAGACAAAATACCAAGGGTGCTGGAGGGATTATTGATCAGGAAATGCCCACCTGCCTGCTTCCAGCCAGATTCACAGCTCCCCCCCACCCCGAAGTGTAGGATGAAAGGGACATTAACCCATTAAAGCATGCCACTTACACAGGAAGGTGGAGTGAGCAGGTAGCAGCTGCTAAAGATTAGTCTCTGATGGGATATGCCTGCACTGCAATCAGGGGTAGCCATTTAAAGGTGTAGCTGTTTAAATGGGTAACTGATAAACATGTGCTTATCAGTTACCCAAAGGGTTTTTTTGATCTGAGGAAGTGGGTCTGGCCCACAAAAGCTCATCATCTAATAAACCATCTTGTTAGTCTTTAAAGTGCTACATAGTCCTGTATTTTGTTCCAAATGATTACACACAGCTCCTGGTCCAGCTCCCTGGGAGCAGGGCAGCAGGCAGGAGCCAATACTTGCTAGGAACTGACTTAAAACTGGCTCCCAGGAAACTGACTACTGCCCCACGCTTCTGTTTCTGTATCAGAGGCAGCAGCACAGGGTGGCAGGTACGAGCTGGCTTAAAAATCGGTTCCTGACACACACCACATTATAACATCCCTAGTATGTCTGCATCTGCTGCAACCACACTTCTTGACTCCTGTGTAGAGATAATGTAGCTGTGCAGTCTCTCTCCCAGCACAGAGATGGAGATAGCTGGACTGAATGGAGCTTAGTTATAAGATAATTATATTTAAAATTAGCTATCTTGTCAATATATTGCTGAGGAAAGAATGCTCACTTCATTTGGGATAATTGTCCTAGTGAATCTTTTATGGCTGGCAAGGGATGCTGCAAGATGCTTTATCCATAAGTGCTGAAAAATAGTGACAGCCTTTCAGATGGGTTATTAGACATATATAAGCATCTGCTTTCAGGGGTGGGGAATCTATCCAGCCCCTGGCTTGCCTGGTTCTGGCCGCTGAGGCTCAGGGCTCCCCACCCAGCACTGGGGAACCCGCACTAGCACTCCAGCTCCCTTTCACCCCATCAGCGCCCTCCTGAAGGTCTGGAGCACACAAAATCTACTGGCCTGAACCCCCCCTAGGCACTGGTGTGCAAGGGGAATGCCTCTGTCGGGCACCATGTCAGTGAAAAGTGGGGTTGGGTTTTTGTTTTTGTTTTTTTGCTTTTCACTTATGTGTGGCCCAGGACTGATTTTTCTGGGTGTCAGCAGCCCCCAACCCAAAAAAGGTTCCCCACCCCTATTTGCTGTTTATGTGCTGGTTTAGTTATTCCCTTAGATCAGAGGAGAAAAGATAGAGTCCAGCTCCATAAATCAAAGGAACTTCAATACAGGTGGGAGGGCAGGGGAAAATGTGCAAAAGAGAGAACCTTTACCGAGGGATACTAATTAAAGGACAAATTAACCATCAGTTGTGTTAAATTAATCATGAGCATGGTGGCATGGTCTATTTTAGTTGTGTGTTGGCTGAGACAACCAAACTAATTTTGCTTTGGGTTTTATATTGCATTTAATCAATGGTCCAAACTGAGCCAGAAAGTTATTGTTGATTTGTGCTAAACTGCTTCACCCTATATCTATTTTTTATGGCTTTGTGTTCAGTATGCATGCAGTGTTGTCTTTTCTTATATTGCTCCAGCTCCTCAATTTGAAACCAAGTGCAGTTATGTGGAAGCTACACTTGAAGAGTTTTTGGCCTGGAGTGGTGGACAGCCTACTTGTTTCTCTGGACCATTCAGTTTTTACGATTCCTCCAAATATTGGGCTTATGCTGATTATAAATATATTGCTAGGCTATTTGAAGACAAGAGAGAAAAATTCAAGGTAAATGGTTATCTTTACCTTTTTTACCTTAAACTTAGAACTATGCAGGAAAATATCCTAAAGGCATTGGTTAATTATTTAAGTGAATTGTAGCTTTTGAAATCCACCTAGCATTTTCACTTCTCTATTCCTTTGACCAATTTTTCAGTTTTATTGTTGACTTATTTATTTCTATTTCAGTCTAACAAAAAATATCTTCTCATCAAAGAGCATCCATCTCAAGCTTCAAAAATGTGTGATAAATGTTTAAAAACACAGCACTACAGGAGTTACAAAACTTGTCTAAAACAGCTGTACTTCCTCCTCATCCAACCACAAATAATTTTGGGTCTGATCTCAACTCAGTTGAAGTTATTGAGTACTTGGATTTCCGCTCACTTTTGTGGGCTTTGGATTAGGCCCTTAAATTGCCATTTATGTGACTTATACAAGTGAAAACCTCTACTCTTTATTATTTTTAGATGTGAGTATGAGGTTTGATTTTTTTCTCACTAATATTATAAACAGTTGGCATGCATGATAGTTTACAAATATAAGCTCTGATGCTGCTGTTGGATGCTGCTGTTATACCCAGCTCCATTAACATCAATAGAACTCCACTGGCCCAAGGATCCCATCTACATAGACTCAGACCATAATACAATTTTTCTGCCATTTTGCTGGCTCAGGAAGCCCACAGCTCCTCCTTAAATAATTCTTGATGCCCAATGCACAAGTCTTTGCAAGGTTATGCCCTTACTGTCCATGAAATTGCTAGAATACACTGGAGTTGCCTGCTCTTGCAAGGATGAGCATACATCCAAGCCAAAGTTTTTGGACATATTTTATATTTTCTCCTGGCCTTCTCTGCTTGATTCTCATAACATCTGTTATGCACCATGTTGTACACATTGCCAGTGCTTAATAAATAATACAGCTGCACAGCTCTAAATATTGGGGTATTGACTCTGCAAATGTCAGCATGATTCGTAAGAGGAATTCTCTCTGGCTAAAATGAGATCTGAAGCTCCAGTACAATCTCTAATCTTTTACATCCATGTGTGGAATAAATTTTTATGTGCACCGAGGCATGTGTGACTGTGTATCACCACTAGAAACACAAAACCTAGATGTGGATGCTCTGCTAATCAGCCTGAGAGGCTGCAGAGGCACACAGCTTACAGAGGACACTGCTTCAGCACTATTTCAGGCTTTCCCCGCATGACTGTCTCAAATTTTGGCTCTGTATATTTTGCCCCCATGAACCCTTCGTTTACGACACAAGATCGGGAGAATTAAAAAAAAAAACCAAAACACCAAAAACCCACATCCAGAACATCTTTAAGTAGATGCTATTTCACTGGGTCAGTAAGAAATTTTCTTGAAGGAAGCAACTGCCATCCCACCCACACAAATACATAATTTGGAGTTTAAGAATCTTATCTACTTATATGCTCTGGTACGAGCATGGGAGTGAAATCTTGCGATCCGCTACAGACTGACAGGAATTGCCAACCACAGCTGCACTATAGTGCCACCCAAAAGTAATATTTGTAGTAATTTTCTCCTGTTCTCTTATGAATTTGATAACACCTTTTTCATTTAGATTTTATTTAGATTTGCTTAAGGTGACTTGAAGGGGAAAAGAAGGCTAACTACATTGTTATTTATAGTGATTAATAGGGCCATTTAGAAGTTGTTTGAAATTTAGATTGCACTGTTTATCATTTACAGTTGTGTGGGTTAAGGTAATGATTCCATTATTCTAATCTCTGAGCAGTATCTAGCCTCTTACTTTTTTTTGTTCAGTTGATATTTTATTACAACATTTGAGATATAAATCAGCAGCAAGATATATGCATGAAGTTTAAATAGAAATGAGACCTTTTAAAATGATATACGGGTACAGATTAACTTCATTATAGGCAGAAAATGAAATAAATGTAATTCACAAGTAATGTGCCATCTGTTATGGTTGGAACACCTTTTTGAGTGCATTTTGTCTTTTTGTAGCCTTTTTATTGTAAAAAAGACGACCACTGTGCCAAGATTTCAATAATCCTACCAATTTCTTTTCAGGTCATTGGTTAAAAACTATTTTACCCACAATCACTTCAAGTATTTACTATAGTTGCGGCATTTTCAAAAAGTTTTTTTAAATCAAATATTGATTGATCTTTCCATTTAAATTGTAACAAAATACAAAAACTATTTAGGTGTGAGATTAAAGTGTAGAGAGGTTATTATGCTTAACTTTGTCACTAAAGTAGTTACATTGGATTTTAAATTTTCTGACTGTGGAAAGCTCTGAACATTTTTTTTTCTTTTTGATTTCTTCTTGATTTTGACAAATGTTTATTAAGCTTTTGTATTTTTTTATTATATTTCTAAAATCAAGATGTGCCTAACAGTACTTCATTTGTTTTGAAAGATTCAAGATATTGAGTCATGGCAGTAATGATTATTACATAATAATCATCTAGCTCTATTAATTTTCATCTGTAGAACTCAAAGCACTTTACAAAGGAGGTATCATTATCCCCATTTTACAGACGGGGAAACTGAACATGGACTTGCTCAAAACCATCCAACAGGCCAGTGGCAGAACTAGGAATAGAACGCAGATCACCAAAGTCTCAGTTTCGGGCTCTACCCAGTAGACAATATTGCTTGCCTACAGATAAATATTTTCTAAAGGACAAATCCTCTACCCAACTGCTAGCCAGACTATTTATGATGCATTTTGTTCAGGTGGGCAGGGTGCGGGTGTAGATGGGAATACTTTGCCCCAAACTAGGGAGAACCAACCAGTGCCAGACCGAGCCATACTTGCGCCCCGGGCGCGTAACGCATGCGCAGCTCCGCCCCCGGGCATGCGGCACCCCTTACCACTTCAATCGGGTGCCCCCCCCATATGTTGGCGCCCCGGGCAGCTGCCCGGCTAGCCCCTCCCTTAATCCAGCCCTAGAACCACCCACATCCATGCATGGTATGTCACTACCACACTGTATATCATTATATGCCTTTGGCATCAAAGAAAGAAGGATGGGAGGATCCAAACACTTGTAGATTCCTGTGCCACCCTCCATAGCATGCTTTCATCTTCCCCATCTTTCTTTGCAGCAGAACTGCACTGAGTCAGCTGCTAAGGGTGACTCCATGGCTGCAAAAGCAGGAGCAGGACTATCCCCATTATCTTAAAAAAGGAGGAAATTTCAGAAATTGAGGACACACAAACATTAGTCATTTGGGTAGAGAGAAGAAAGAAGGGCTGAATGTTCTGGCAGTTGTGGGGGAAGTCATGACAGTGTTTAGAAAGAGAGATGTCAAAGGTGCCACACAAATCAGACCTGGTTGAAAAAGACAGTGGAGTTTTTATGACAATTTTGTTCCTTTCTTTTGTAGAAATTTCAGATTGTGACATCTTTCAACCAGGAATTCTGAACCGAAGCAGATGGTAGTGGAATAGAGATGGGAGGATGATGAGGGTATAGGAAGAAAAGAAAAGCTCAGATGACACTGTGAGGGTTGTTTTTGAAGAAGGTATGGAAATTACACTCACATTTGCATATCTTCCCTTTTTTTTTTTTCTAGAAGAGGATTTTCTGATATCTGGCCTGTCTACTTGGGGCCAAATGTCAGAAAAAGCCCTTTTTCGAAAGCCCCCTTATTCCTTGTAAAATGAGGTGTATAGGGGGCTTCCGAAATAGGGGTTTTTCCCCCCGACATTTAGCCCCATGTAGATAGGCCAAATATCAGAAAATCCTCTTCCGGAAAAAAAATTGGAAGATATGCAAATGCGAGTGTAATTTCCATACCTTCTTCAAAAACAACCCTCAGGCTATGTCTAGACTGCAAGCTTCTTTCGAAAGAGGCTCTTTCGAAAGATACTTTCGAAAGAGAGCGTCTAGACTGCACGTTGAACTTTCGAAAAAGCAGCTTGCTTTTTCGAAAGAAAGCATCCAGTGAGTCTGGATGCTCTCTTTCGAAGAAGCCCTATTTACATTCAAGAACGCCTTCTTTCGAAAGAGGAACTTTCGAAAGAAGGCGTTCTTCCTCGTAAATTGAGGTTTACCGCCATCGAAAGAAAAGCCGCGTTCTTTCGATTTAATTTCGAAAGAACGCGGCTGCAGTCTAGACGCAGGTGAAGTTTTTTCGAAAAAAGGCTACTTTTTTCGAAAAAACCCCTGAGTCTGGACACAGCCTCACAGTGTAGCCGTACCCTTAGATATAGGGACAGGGCAGGCATGGAGCGCTGGATTTCTGAGTCTTCTACTTAGCCACGGCACAGCAGGTCACCCAAGGATAACATTTAGAGGGAGAAGAGGAGCAGGCCATGGAATTAGGTTTGTAGGATCCTTATATAGAGCAGAATAGAAGGAACAGCAAAACATTAAAAGGAAAGGGTGATCACAAAGGTAATGAGAAAAGAGAATCATAAGAGGACAGGGCCTCAGAAGTCAAAGGATGATAAGATGTCCTCACTCACATCTATAACTTTGTCTCTGCCACAGGATATAATATGGTCTGATTTTGGTTTCTCTGGAAGAAATGGAAAGGAGAGCACATTGTGGATTGGCTCAGCAGGAGCAAACACTCCTTGTCATTTGGATTCCTATGGGTGCAATTTAGTACTACAGATACAGGGAAGGTAACCAGAAAGATTTATGTTTGTGCAGATTTTACAGAGGGGACTTTTATTATAAACCAGCCTTTACTATGTTAATTGTTCACTCTTCACACATTTTAATTTTCTGTACCCTTCAAAGATCCAGCCAGCACAGCTGAGCTTGTTTTTGTTTGGGAAGTGATGAAAGGTTCGAGGGTTAGCCTTTGATTGGATGTTTGGTTCATAAATTATATTTCGTTGTGTTGAAGGAAGGAGAGTCTTTGTTTACCTACTTTAAAAAGTCATTGTAAAATATACAGGTAACAGGTTGTATTGGGCCTATTTTATACATCTAAAATAAATACGTATTTTAAAACATGAATAGTTATGAGTTGAGCAGATTGGGGGTTAAGAGGAAAGTTTATTTATTTCTTTGTTCTCTTAAAAAAATAAAAGAGGTGAGGATAAATAGACTGCTCCAGGCCAGTGGTTCTCAATCAGGGATACACAGAGGTCTTCCAGGTGCTGCATCAGCTCATGGATATACGTGCTTAGTTTTACAACAGGCTACCTAAAAAGCATTAACAAAGTCAGTACAAACTACAATTTCATATACTGCTCTCTACACTATACCCTGAAATATAACCACAGTATTTATATTCCAACTGATTTTTTTAAATAATTGTATGTATAAAAATAAGAAAGTCAGCAGTTTTTCAGTAATAATGTGCTGGGACACCTTTATATTTTTATGTTTGATTTTGTAAACAAGACGTTTTTAAGTGAAGTGAAACTTGAGGTTTGCGAGACAAATTGGACTTGTGAAAGGAGTGGTGTGGAGAGGTTGAGAGCCACTGGTCTAGGCTTAATAACCCCTTAGAATTAATTTACAAAGGAAATATTAGGACAGTTAACAGCCAGCTCTGAGAAACATTAAAAGGAACGCTTCAAGGCTTGAAATTCAAATTTTGGACCTGTTTTTTGTTGTTCATTCTTCCTTTTTGAAAATTTCATGCAATTCTTCTTTTCCTTCCCTATAGGTATCTGTTCCAATTTCCTTTAGAAAAAAAATACTATTAACACCAGTTAGAAACCCACCACTAACAAAGCAGTTTGTGTATATTTGTGCGAGGCATTCTGGTATTCTATGAGGGTAAGGCAGAATGGTTTGCCAGTGGATTTTAATGTCATTAACTAAACCACTGTGTTTTGGGAAGGATAGTCTTGAGATTAAGGTATGGGACTGGGAATCAGGAGTTCAGACTTCTTTTTTGCCTCTGCCATTGCTGCAAGGCATTTTTTCCCCTCAATGTTCCTGCATCTTTTAAACAAGGTTAGTTATATTTAGCTCAAGGATGTTTGTTAAGAAATTTGAGATCCTCATGTGGAAGGCATTATGGTCCCAGTTCAACAAATACTATTGACCATAGTCCTTATTACCATGAATAATCCTACTGACTTCAGAGGAACTATGTTCCGTCGTAAACAGCTAGTACAGCTACTGCCTCTAGTCTGGCACCCTTGGACCTGACCGGTGCCAAACCAGAGAATTTGCTGAACCACAGGAGATCAATATTGTCTAGCAGCATTACCAGTACTTCCACTGCTTACTGGGCTCTGAGAAGACATTTAGTGGTAAATTAGAGCTAAATAACAGCACAGAGACAGGACTGGTGGCTGTAAAGAAACTTTATGAGACTGCAGGATATTTGACTATACCCATGATAAGTGGACATCCAGCTAACTAAAATCATGCCAGACCATGGATGTTCCCAGACCAGAGAATGCCAGACTGGAGATGTTCAACTTGTGCCTATTTGGGGGATCAACAGCAACACAGAATTGCCTCCCAGCTGTCCTTATGGCTTATACAGTTTGGAGTTCCAGTCTCCAGTGTAGAGCATTAGACAGGATTCTGAATTTAGTCTGCAGATGTGTGTGCCTTCCCCAAATTAATTTCTATCTCTGGTAAAATAAAGTCCCTGGTTCTGCTTGCATGCTCCTTTCTATGACAGGATAGACATAAAACTTCCAAGCACGCTGGAGACAAAGTTTTGCTCCTCAGAACAAGAACGTAAGGCCTTATCTACACTGGCAGATGTACAGTGCTGGCAGTCAGTGCTTCTGGGAGAGTGCTGCAGGGAAACTGCTGTCGTATACTCACACTGACACCTGCCAGTGCAATAGCGTGACCACACTTGTGGCACTTGCAGTATCATTCAGAGCAGTGCATTCTGGGCAGCTTCCTCAAAGAGCATTTCTTCTTCTTCTGCCACTGAGGATTGTGGAAAAATGGAGGGGAGTCATAGGGCATCCTGGGTCCTGTCCCAAAGCCCCACAGTGCATCACGTTTCATCCTAGCAATCCCTGAGCTTTGGTTCACATTTGGAACCATCTTTCAACGACTTTTGTAGTGTGTGCTCTGCCTCTTTGGTCTGCAGGCATGGATCGGACACTGTTGAAGAATATGTTGTGACTCTCACTAACACTTCACAAATGGCCATCGAGTTATTCCTTATACTACAAAGTGAAGAAGAGGAGTCAGAGATTGGAGATTGATCTTGCCACATATAGTAGCTAGGCCACGAGATTGCTTATCGCTCTCACGGAGGTGCTGACCACAGTAGTTGCCACTTTTGGGCTTGGGAAACAAGCACGGAGTGGGGGGGGGAGGTCACATCATCATGCAAGTCTTGATGATGAGCGGTGGCTGCACACTTTTGAATGAGGAAAGCCTCTTTCATGGGACTGTGTGTTGAGCCTGCCCCCTGCCCTGTGGCATAAAGACACAAGAACAAGAGTTGCCCTGCTTATGGAGAAGCACGTGGTGATTGCGCTATGTAAGCTGTAGGGATGTCAACTTGTAGTTGACTATGCGATTAACCATTAAGCCTGGGCTTATCAGTTAATTCTATTGACTACACACACTTCCCCTCTCCCCCGCTTGCTGCCTCTGTATCAGAAGCAGCAAGGAGTGGAGAGGCAGGAGCTGGTGCCCAGGGGAACCGGCTTTTAAACAGGCTCCCCAACAGCACTGGATCCTCTGGAGGCTCCCACCTCCCACAGAGACGGGGGAGCAGGGCAGGCTGCTGTGGAGCAGCCTTTGTCCACGGTGGGCCCAAGCTCACTATGGACAGAGGCTTCTCCAGGGGATACTGGTGCAGCCTCTCTTCACAGGGAGCTCATCCCCCCCTCCCCCGTGGACTGGGGCTGGTGCCGCAGAGCAACCTCTACTGGAAGCAGGCCCAGGCTCACTGCAGGCAGAGGCTCCTGTGTGGGATGCTGGTGCAGCTCTTGCCCACTTGGACCCCCCACAGACAGGGGCTGCTGCTGCCCTGTGCTGTTCCCTGTGTATCAGAGGCAGCAGCGTTGGGTGGCAGGGGGGAGCCAGTTTGCAAGGGGAGCCAGTTTAAAAAACAGCTCCCCTCATGAACTGGCTGCCTATTGTCCTGTGCTGCTGCCTCTGATAAAGAGACAGCAGCGTGGGAAGGCAGCAGCCCCTGTCTAGGGGGGGGTCTGAGCTCCCAGACCCAACACACGCTGGAACTGAGCTGGGCTGCCTGCCTATCTGGCTCCCAATACACTTTAAATGCAGAGCTGAAGCAGCGGTAAGTCAAGGACCTGGTGTGAGCCAGGACTGAGCCAGACTGCTGGCCAGTCTGCTAAAAAAGCTCCATCCCCGGGGACTATTGAATAGTTGTGTAACTGCTAAAATGTGATGTGGTTACATGATTATTCAATTAACCAATATCTAACATCCCCAGTAAGCTGGTTACTCCTGACAGCTACCGATTGGTCACTAATCAGTTCAGAGAGAGAAAGTCAGCTGTTGGATTCATGCTGATGTAAGTGTGCAGGGCCATTAATTGCATCCTGCTATACAAGACCATGGCTCTGGGTAATGTGCGTGACATTTTGCACATATGGCTTTCCTAACTGTGGAGGGGCAATAGATGGCACACACATTCCAATTCTGGCATCCGATCACCTACCCTTTTAGTATATCTATTAGAAGGGTTATTTTTCCATAGTTCTTCAGGTGCTTGGGGATCACTCTGGAGATTTCACTGACATTAAAATAAGCTGGTCCAGAAAGGTGCGTGGTGCATGCAGCTTTTGGAACACAGGCATGTTCAGGAAACTGCAGGCAGAATCTTTCTTCCTGAACCAGCAGATCATTGTAGAGAAAGTCAAAATGTTCATTGTGATGCTAGGAGACCCTATCTGTCCCTTATTGCAGGGCTGGGCAAAATATGTGTCTCAGGCCAAATCCGGCCTGCCAAGGTACTTGATCTGGCTCGTGGGCATAGCGGGAGCCTCAGTCAGGCTCCCTGTCTGCCCTGCTTCTGCACATTGCTTAGAAAAGGCGACTGCAGGGCCCTGTTTTTCTGTAAACAGCTGCAAGCCTGGATGGGGGGGGGGGCTTTGTGTACTGCCCCTGTCCTCATCACACTCTTGCAGCTTCCATTGACAGGTTTCTGGCTAACCTTCTGTAGGGTAAAAAGGGCTTCTGACTCTGGATGCTGAGTCATCCTCTGGCTTTGGGTCTCCCTCCCTCTCAGCTTCCTTGTCCACAATTTCCTCCTCCTAGCTCAGTCTCAGCTGGTGCAGTTTCCACAGGGCTCTTCACAGTGCATGTGTGGTTACTCCCAAGTATTGCATCCAGCTCTTTGTAAAACCAGCAATTTGTGGGCACAGCACTGGAGCAGCAGTGTGCCTCCCGCGTCTTGTGATATGTGTTCCGCAGCTCCTTCATGTGGACCCTGCATTGCATCCCAGTCATGGCTTGATTCAATCATGCTTCTTGATATCTGGCCATAGGTATCATCATTCCTGTGGCTGGAGCAGAGCTAGGACCAGACAGCCTTCTCTCCCCAAATGTTAACGAGGTCCAGCTCCTCGGCATGGCTCCAAGCAGGGGTTCACCTGGTGCATGGAGCAGGCATAGCCAGCCGGAAATATGCGCTGAGAGCACATCACTGAGCAAACAGGAAGAGGACTTTAAAATTCCCAAGGAATTTAAAGGATGGGTGTGACAGTTGGCAACTTGAGGGCACAGCAGTAGAGTTTAATCCGATGACCAGACAAGAACGGGCATTGTGAGAGATGTCTGGGAGGCCAGTCACAGCGCTGTCATCGACCAGCTATCTACACTCGCGCTGTGGTGCTGTAGCCCCTGCGCAGAAAGCTGTATGCTTCTCATCAAAGTGCTTTTTCTAGAGCGTTGCAGCTGCGGCGTTAGTGCACACTAAGTGCCTTGCCAGTGTGGACACTTTGGGAATTACAGAACTGGGAGCTGACTGACCATGCTGAAACTTGCCAGTGTAGACAAGGCCTAAAGCTTTCAAATAGGCTGCATGTTAAGTTTGTGAATCCCTTGTCTTCTTAGATCAGAGAGAAAGTAAAACTTTTCAACTCCCTGGCAAACAACTCAATCTTCATTTCCCAAAATAGGATTACACTGAAGTTAGTGCTGCTGCCTCTCCCGTACAGACACACAGCTCCCCTGGGCCTTTGTTGCTAACACACGCTTCTTCCTATATGTTTCAGACTGTTTCTCGAGAGGTTAACAGGCTTTACTGCTGTATTGTGGTCCTGCTCATAGAAACTTTGTCTTCCTGCATAGAGCCCCATGGCTTCCGAAACTATTCACTCTCCTGTCCCTTATCAGGGCATTATGCTTGTGCAAAATATTGCTGTAATTGCGTTTTGGGACACAGGTAAACTGTTTACACTGAAAATTCTCTCTGGTGCCAGCTGCTTAGCGGTAGCTTTTATTTTCTGTACCAAGAAATGTCAGCAACCTGTGGTACTCCCATCTGTGCTGATCTTTCTCATTCTGGCTTCTTTTCTGTTTCCCTCTCTTCTGGTTTTGTGCCACTTGGCTTTCTTCATGTCTCATTTTCAGATCTGTGACTTAGAACTCACAACCAGATACACTAGGCAAGTAA